TATTGCTGTGTAACAAATTACCCCCCCCAAAAAACTTAGCAGCTTAAAACAACAACCCCTTTATTAGCTCATTGCTTCTGTGGGTCAGGAATTAGTCTGTGCATGGCTTAGCTGGGTGCCTCTGTCTCAAGGTCAACTAGTCAGACTGTTGACTTTGGCAGTGATCTCATCTGAAGTCTTGATGGGGGTTGGGGGGAGTGGTGCGGGGAGATCTGCTTCTGAGCTTACTCACATGGTTATTGGTAGGATTCAGCTCCTAACGGGCTTTTGAAGACAGGAAAAGAAGCTTGCCCTATGTCCTTCACCCAGTAGGGATCTCCAAAGAATTTTAGCAAAACATTGCTCAGATAACAAGTGTTGTCAGAAGACCAGTCTAGTGACTGAGTAGGGGATGGACTGGAAAATGAAAAGACAGGAGGCCAGGAGGTACTTTCAAAAGCTGCTTTTTTTACAGCACCTATATGCCAGGCACTATACAAGTTACTAAGATGACAAAGATGCTTAAGATATGGTCTTTGCTTTCAAGAAACAGATGACAGCCATGTACCAGGTGACAGGTGGCAAAGCCTGATTTAGAGTGGTCTCTGGGGAGAGAAGAATGAAGGGACAGATGCAAGAGAGGAAGAGATGTTAACATGATGAGACAAGAACAGGTCTGTGAGGAAGAGGGAGCAGAGAAGGATGGCAGGCACCCACACTAGTTTGGGAGCATGGGACTCTTCCAGAGAATGGCCACCAGGCTTGGATTAGTCACTGCCTTCTAAACCTTTCACACATTTTGTTCCTAATCTTTGTCACAACTCTTCAAGGGAAGTACTACTATTCCCATTTTGCAGATGAAGAAATAGACCTGTTGAAGTTAAGCAATTTGCCTAAGGTCAAGCAGACCAGAAAGTGCCAAGGAGAAAAAAGCTAATCATTGGCTTTGAGTGTTTGCTCTCCCCAGGCAAAGTACATTTAACAACGCCAGAATCTTGGTCTCTAAAAGACCTCTCTCTTCTTCCTGGAATTAATTCTTTTGCCCTCTTTCTACATCTTGACTCATAATTCCTCAGACATAGTTGGTAAAGATTCTCCTTTTTTCCCACTGGGCAATTTAATTACACAGTAAACTCCAGACAAGTAAAGACTTCCTTCCTTTGGAAATTTCCTTCCCAGGCAGAGGATGGTGCTTTACCCTTGATGGTTACCGCTAATTACCAAAAAGCTGACCAGCCGTACATGCAGCATCATCTATAACCAAAGTGAGCAGTGAGAGAAACAAAATGGGAAACGTTTCCCCCAAGCTTGGCTGTGGACTGTAAATCTCCCTCTCCAAAAAAGTAATTCTTTAAAAACCTAATAACATTAATATTTTATCTGATTATAAGTGTAACATATGTGCATTATGAAAAACGTGGGAAAAAACCCAAAAACAAATCATTCGTTATCCTACAAAGAAAATGAAACAGAACCACCGAATGAGAGTCTTTTTATTAAGAGCTGCTTGATGAGAGCATCGTGTGTTCATCTGTGCATGTGTGTTTGTACAAGCCACCTATGCCCGCTCGTCTGCGAATATAGTGGAATAACTGTGGGGTTTGTGGATTGTATAAAGATGCTTGCAAGCCCATCAAAGAGGGCTTTTGTTTGCATGCAACTCATGTAAGAGTAAATACTCCATAACCACTTGAGCATAATGCAAGGAAGAAAAACTGAAATGACGGCTACTGGCCAGCATACAGATCATGCTCCACTGTCTTATAATATTTTCTCTGCATTGCTTTTTAAAACATTTTTCATATTACATGCCCCATCTCATATCACATTAACCTAAATAAAAACGTCATTATCCATTCAGTTCGACAGACAGCCGGCAGAGTGTGGTAGAAATTGCAATCACGCCAGCTGACAACAAAGCATCCTAATCACAAGCCGGTAGAAGAGCCGACGGTGGGCAGCTGGTCCACCCCATTTTGCACTGTCCAGGCACGCGATCGGATTCAGTATAGGGAGCCCCCTCTTCATATACAGCGCCCGCTTCTGAAGAGTTGTGTGCAAATCAAGTTTTGTGTTGCGTCCTGTGTTTGTTACATTAAGGAAGCTTCAAGCTTGATATCTAAAGAGACTTCCTTTCAAGCAGTATGTTTCTTTTTACCATGTTACGATTCCTCTGAAATAAATCTAAAAGCTATTTTGGTATATGAGATTTTATTAAAGTATATAGTTCACTTACACCACTAAGTTTATTAAAATAAGGGAAGGAATGTAGCCCATGAAGCCAGGCATAGAAATGCAGCTTGGATAGTCCCGAGTTCTCCAAACATTAAGGTAATTTGAGCTTTATTGAAAGTAACAGCCTAGAGGCTGTTAGAAGTGACCCATTTACATGCACTTTCGTACTGATGGATTATTAAACTGATGGTTTGTGAGAATTTAGGATAGAATGCAGTAGTCATGAAAAGTCCACCCAGAATTATCACGCTAATAATTCAGGGTAGTCATCCTCATTTCTTTGCCTTTTTTTTTTTCTTTTTTCAAGTGGCCTTCAGGATAGGTAGATAGGTAAGTTACATTTCTGTTTTCGCAAATCATGTGGCAAAGTGTGCTTCCTGGTGGAATATTTACCTAAGTTCACGCCCAACTGGCCAAAGAGCTGGGAACAGTGATACTGACGAATCCTGTGGCTGCCTGAGCAGCAGTCCAGCGGAGGACCACAGCTCTGTGTCCGGTCCTGGCACATGGTGCTAACCAGCTGAAGGCTTAGAAGACACACTGACCAAATTTCAAGTGAAACAAAGAAGGAATGGCCAAGGTGACAGGAAATGAGATTTGAGTGCATGGGTATATCCTCGGCCCATCCACACTGAGAACAATCACCCCGGTGCTCTAAGCCCTTACGTGTTGTTGAGTAGAAAGTTCTTTTTCCCTGGATTTCCCTCTCCTGATCCTCCCTCCAAGAGTCTTGGCAACAAGGAACAAGGGGAGGCTCTCAGATGCTCCCATAGCCCTGAGCTCAGCCCAGAGCTCACTCTCTTTCACTCACAGAACTGCCCTACTGCTTCTCAAGACCAACTCCCACACTGGGGCCGCTGGGGACACTGCACTTCCCTTATCCCCCAGAGCATACGGGGTTGGCTTGAATGGAGCTCATGCGGGGAAGTCCAACAAAGCCATGCACCGCTCCAATACTGGCCAACAGCAACCCAGCCTGCCCACCCTGCTGGGCTTCTCCAAGCGCCTGAATGTTTCAGGGCAGTTAAGAGATTGTTCCACTCAGAATAGAAGGCAGGGCAGCTTTTTACAGCAATACATGTTAGGTAAATGGAAAGCCCTTCCAAGAATGGGTCCTAAATGGTCCAAGAATCAGCTGTACACAGTGATGATTCACGGGGAAAAGAACCGTGTGGTTTCCATTGACCTGAACCTCAATATTTGCCTGTGTTACGTGTCTTCTCGAAAAGTCAACATGTACCTTGCTTTGCGACTGATGTGCAGGGAAATGATCCATTTATGATTATGGGATTGCACCTGAAATGCTTTTCCATTTATGGAGCTGCCTTATAGGAGAGAGGCTGATGGGGTGGGGCGGGGAGGGAGGGAGAGAGAGACAAATAAGAAGGGACAGTGTAGGCAAACCACGCGGTGCCCGGAGTAGTTGAAGGGATAGGGAACGACCGTCTAGTTGATGACGGCGGATCTGGGGCAGCACTTGCTGTCCGAGCGTTTGGAACACCTTCACGTGGAAGAAGAAAGAAATGAAACCAGCCAAGGGTTATCAGAGGGAGTCAGATGCCTCAATAAAACAACATATCTTCTAACAAGAAGACTCACATTTTATAACTTTTCCTAATGCCTTAGGACTTTACGAGCAAAGAGTGAGTTTTATGTAATTGTTAAAATTCATTCATTCACTAATTTATTCTTTCAATAAATTACCACATACCAGGCGCTGTTCTAAGTGCTGAGGATACAGAAATGGACAGACCAGAATCTCCTCCTATCCTAGGAACTTATACTTTACTGTCAAAAAAGTAAAATCTAAACATAAGTAACATTTCAAAATATGTTTTCCATAAGAAACACAGAACGATGTATCATGGCATGTTGCTTTAGCTATGGGGTTAGTCCAGAAAGTGCAGCATTTGGAAGGATTCCCCTCAGCGTTTCCAACCTGGCTTTTCAAACACCCAGGAGAGGATAAAAGGTCACGTGGGTGCCCATCCGGCTCCAAGGAGAACTCCACCCACGTAAGCCAGACTCTTGGGGTCAGCATGGTGGGCAGCCAAAATGAGACCCAAATTTGTTGAAGCTGGGTCATAACTACGTGAATGATCATGACACCATTGTCTCTTTCTGTGTCCATGTTAGAAATTTTCCATAATAAAGATATCTTAATATTAAAAAAGGAAATTCCACAGTTGTTCTGCATGGGCATTGAAGGCCTCTGAAAGTCAAGGGTTCCCTATATTGGAAGATTAAAGCAACTTAAGCAGAAAGGAATAACCATCCATCCAATGGTTTTCGTACTGAATAAGAAGTTGAAATGGATGACCTTGGGTTGCTTTTGATACTGAGACTCTATATTCTAGCGGAAGATCTAGAATACAATTGGAACCAAGCAAACACGGATTTGGGCTAATTCCAGCATTAGTACATATGGACTGTGGTCTATTTACACTCTAATGCTAACCAAATGTCACAAAATGAGTACTGATTCTCATTTCTAAGCATTTAATGATCATTTTCATAATTATTTCATGGTATTTACTCTAAATCTTCTCTTATTTTTACTTCCAAAATAACCAGATTGCTTAAGCTAAAACAGATGTTTACAGCTATTGTGTTTTACAATACTGGTGAATTTTAGATCTTCCTCTTCAATCTTGGGTGCACCGAAGTTACATTCATAACAATGGCCATTTTCCCAGGAAGCACCACCCATCCCCTCTTCATCTGCAGCTAATTTAGGTGTGCTCCCTGCATGGGGTCCTAATCACACCTTTCTGATTCGCTCTCAGATGATTCCTCTCATCAGCCAAGCCTGTGACCTGCTCTTGGCCGACTTAAAGCACTATGCAGAATCTGGGGACGCTTTCGACATCCAGAGGTAAGGCTGCTGCCTGGCTACGTTACAGATGAGAGATCGCATTTTTGAATTGCTCCTTCTTATAACTCTACATAATTGCTGGACAATCACCTTGGTACCAGCAAACTATGGAAATGTTAGAAAAGCTCATAAGAGCATGGGTGGACAAAGAAGACATGAAACTCACAGAAAATGTCACCCAAATGCAAACAAACACAAGAGGGTGTGGCATGTTCAGGGAGCCCGAAGAGGGCTGTATTTTGTAGACTTGCCCTCCAACTTCTGTAGACCCAGGAGTGGGCAGGATATGCCAGGACAGAGAGGACAGGGTCCTGGGAGAAAGTCTGTGCATTTTTAACTCAAGAAACGCTGTGGCACACCTTCACCTAGAAGCCATGACTTACTGGTGGACACTGAATTTAAACAACTGATTGGCTTTTTGCCTAGTTGTCCTGTGCTAAATTACGGATTACTGCAGATTAGGAGTCGCACAGCAGATCAGCCTGAAGCCAATGCACCCTTATTATCATTGTTAATGAAATAATAACATAATCATCACCAGCATTTACATTCTACCGTATTGTTTACAAAATTCTCTCCCATACATTCTCGCTGGTCCTAAGGTGCATGAATTAAGATAAGATGGGCCCAGCAGCCATAAAAGCAAAGTAACCAACTCTTAAAACCTTGACATCTTCAGCCATTAGGATCAGATGAAATCACACTCAGTGAAATCAAATTGTGGTTTCTGCTGTCACGGGGAAATGTGTCATCAATTGTAGAAATGTTTTCAATAAAAGCAGTCAAAATAAAAGAAGTCATCTAGAGATGTCACGTATTCCTCAAGGATAAGTCGTTGGTTATAGAATTTATGAAGAAGAGGAACTAAGTGTGTGTCTACATCAAGCCACAAAGATAGAACTTTTAATTATAAAAGGATATGAATACCCAGTTGCTAGCCTTTTTAGAAGTAAACAGGCTACCGCTATAAGACAACAAAAAAGGATTATCCTAGCTTAAAATGGCCATTTGAGGGGCAGATTTCCTAGAGCCTAAGAGGTGAATTTTACTGGAGCTACTGCCACACACTTTCCCTTCTGTTTGTTTCTCAAGTGCAATGTGCGTTTTCTGTAATAATATACATATGTTCACGAAGCTGGTCCCAAAGCTTGTCTTTTATTTATCTGAGTGTGAAGGGCCCTGGTTTTTTGTTTGTTGCTCTTATGAAAGCTGTAAAATCATCAGGAGGAAGAGGGGGACAGAGCGAATAAAGCCAGATAATCAGGTGGTTACCTCATCCATCACAATTTGCTGTGGGTCAGTCAGTCGTCAGACCCGGACCTTGGATGTGCTCTGCACAGCTTTGGGGTAAAGCACATAGGCTTTGGGTCAAGTGTTCTCCCTCCTTCATGGGGAGGAAAATGTAAAGTGTACTTCTTGGTATTTCATGGCATCTGGTTTGAAGCTGCCGGAAGTCTCAAAGTTGAGTACGTGAGGTTCTCCTCCCCTCCCCCACCTCTGTCTAGATCACCTCTCTGTTGTGTTTACGTCTCCTCTTCAGTCCTGCAGTCACGCTGCCAGGATGGAATCCCAGCAGCTCCTCTCCCTCCACCTCTCTTCAGATCTGCTGGAAGCTCTGCTTCGGAAGAGGCAGACGATGGAGTCGTGCCTCTCTAGGAGTGCATGTGATGGGGAGGCCAATGGCCTGGTCCTTCCCAGACACAAATGGTCCCCCTCCTGCAGGTGCTACTGCTGCTACACCACAGACGTGGTTGCCAGCGTGGCCTTCGGCACCCCGGTGGACTCCCGGAAGGCTCCCGAGCACCCCTTTGTGACGCACTGCAGGCGCTTCTTTGAGTTCTCCATCCCCAGACCTATCCTGGTTTTAATCTGTAAGTACGGTGCCTGCCCAGGGTGGTCAGTGGGCTACAGCCAGTTGGGGGTGGGGGCGGGCAGCTTCAGGGCTCAGCCCTTACCGCCAGGAAAGGTCCACTGGGGGGTCTCTGACATTGCCCTGTGAAGCCCTCCTCCCTGAGGAGGCTTCATCTTCCTGGGACCGTCCAGGCTCCTCTGGCCACCAGCCTGGGGCCACTTATTACCATCACAGGTCACCCCGGCCTGGCTCCCCACTGCCGTCAGGAAAATGGCCGCAGGGCCGGGAACCCATCACCTATGAGCTCTAGTTCACTGTGCATCGGGCTTCAAGCAGAGATGTCTTCTGAAGAGGATTTTGCTGGAGGGGATAAATGTGCCCATGAAAATAAAAGGCTTTGGGTTCCTGCCTTGGCTCCGCCTTTTTAAGCCTCAGTTTTCTCATCTGTAAAGTGGGGTGGGGGGAGAATGCCTTTCCCATGGGATGCAGACAAGCAGTAACTGCGGCAGTGCAGGCGGGCACTCAGCCCCGAGCATGCGGCCCAGCTCCCGACGGCAGTGTAGGTGCCACTGCTGCTCCACCACACATGGGTGACGAGCAGATTACCGAACGCTGTGGAGACCAGTCCATTTATCTTATTTCTATTTTAGAAGTGAGTCTTACCCTCTGGCCAATTCTGGTATCTTCTTGCTTTTATGGAAGCACTGAAGTGTTATTATTGTTACTGATTATCGCCATAATTCCTAACCATTCTGCTGGGCTGGTAAATTCTGTTCATTCCTTGGTCAGTTTCATTCCTATTTCTGAGCCAATTTCCGTGGAAGCCCCGGGCACCTTCATCTGCTCTGCACTGAAACTGCAGGAAGAGTCACTATGAGGGTCAAAGCAGTGTCCTCCTTTGCCCCTCACCCCCTGCACCCCAGGGGGGTTGGCTACCCTTGTCATCAACCATGGAGTGTCCTGCCAAGCAGACGGGTCCTTTGTCCCATGGCTGCTGCCACTCCTCTCTCGGCCACACTGAGCCCGCCTCCCTGCTGTGTCATTTTGGTTCTGGCTCCCACTCTTGAAAATGGGCAGAGCCTCCTGAGGCCTCCATGGATTGAGAATGACCCTGTCCCCCGGCTCCCGCATGGTGCCTGTGCAAGCAGGAATTCTGAGAAGCTGAACTGAGCCAAGTTCCCCAGCGACAGGCTTGGCCCCTTGGCACAGGCCACGGTCCAGGAGGGGATAAGTGTCCCAGACCCAGGAGGCCTTGTCCCAAGGGCATGGCAACAGGGATGCAAGCTGCCCACAGCACAGCAAGGGAGGTGCCCGCAGGGGACGAGGCCAGCATCCTTGTCAGCAGCTGCAGTGGCAGCTCTTAGGAACAATTCAGGTGTTAGCTCTGGGGAAAACGATCCAAAGGAAAAAAATGCAAATGACCAGAAAGTTAAAGGAAAAAAAATGCAAATGACCAGAAAATTAAGAAAGTGGATCAACTTACATCACTTGCTAAGACTTGAAACATGGCTTGCAATCTGTTCTTCCCTGATGAAATACAGAGACCTTGGGCCCTCCTGTCTAGGACCTGGGAAATTAACTTACAAGCATGAGATCGACTTCTTGAGGGCCAGATGGAAGTAGGGATTCAATTGTACAACCATTAATCGAGTGCTTACTACATGCAAGGAACGGTGAGGAGCCCAGAGGTGGAAAAGGACATCATCCCAGCTCTGAGCAGCAGCAATTCAGAAGGGAAGACAGGCCTTCAAATGACTAATTCAAAGCCAGGGTTTGCTTCCTGGCAACAGGCACCTAATAGCCCTGGTTTATTCTCACCCCCTTTTCAATGCCACTTTTGTTTTTCTCTTTCAAGTATCATTTCCATCCATAATGGTCCCACTGGCCCGGATTTTGCCCAATAAGAACCGAGATGAACTGAATGGCTTTTTTAACAAACTCATTAGGAATGAGATTGCCTTGCGGGACCAGCAAGCTGCAGAAAAGGTAACGTATTTTAATAGGACACAGCGTGGAAATGGAATGGAAGCTAATTTGGCATTGCTGTCTCTTTCCTCTCCCTCCCCTCCCAGCCCTGCACACCCAGCCATGCAGAGGGGCAAACAGTGAGCGAGTGGTGAAGGCAGGAGGGAAGGGTGGTGGGGAAAAGCCACACTCTGTCCACACTCTGACGTGGGGGAGCAGAATTAAAAGCTGCCCCCGCCTCCAAGCTCACGGGCCTCCCTGTTTCCAGCATCACCCCCAGCACAGTATACCACAGCCTCAGAAAATTTTCTAGGTAAATTGGCCCACATGTGCTTTTCATCAGTGTATTCTTTATATGGAACAACGGCAAGATGGAGCTTTACAGCACGAGCAGCAGCAGCAGCAGCAGCAGCAGCAGAGGGGAGTTCAGGCAGCTGTCACCCACCTCACACACTCCCTCTCAGCGCGGAGGGTGGAGGGCGTGGCTAGGAAAGTCCTGGTCAAGGGCCCTCTCATCTGAGACCTAGAGATTCTTGCCTCCTTACACACTTGCCCTGTGCTCGGCACACAGTAGGAATCGAGTAAATTTTCCCTGATTGAGCTTGGCTGAGAATAGAAATAGGAATTTTCAGTGTTGAGGAAAACAATGTCAATACTGGATATACTTGTGCATGTATAATGCTGTTCTTTACCAGCCTCATTGCAGTCAAGAAAATAGCTTCCAAGGAAAAACACAGGGCTGAAATGTCTCTTCCTGAATTGACTTGTGTAAGACGTGGCTTTCAGAGAGTTTTCTCAAAGACTGGGCAGCTCAGGGGGATTACCAAAGAAAGGACGCGAGGTCTGGCGTTGGCCGAGGATGAGACCAGGGGTCAGGTAGTGACCAGAGGCACGGGCCAGCCTCAGGCAGAGCCTCATACTGCCCAGCCTCACCCTCTGGAGAATGTGCAGCAAAGGTGTCCTGGTCCAGAAGTTGGGGAAGGTGGAGAGCAGCTCACAGCCCTTTGGCCCAGACCACCAAGAACTCAACCTCATGTCTTTGGAGGTGTGAGAACAATCAGCTCAGTGGTATCCCTGGCCCAGCTCCACCATCTGAAAGGACAGAACATTTTTATCCAGGTTTATGCTTCTCCGGAGCGGGGATGGAGGCTCAGGGAGAAGAGAGGAGCAAAGTCCCATTTTCAAACCTTAATATTCCTAAGAAGGTCTTCCCTCCGACGGTTCATCACACAACCCCACCCCATCCCACCCCCAGCCTGAAACCCACTGGTTGTGGAATCAGGCTGACAATTCTAAAAGTGTTGCACCAAATAGCTTACTCAGAGGTGAGGGGTTATTATAGATCCAATTACTGGGATTGCCTCGAGCTTTTTCCTTTTATAAACTCAAAAGCTATTTGTTTCAAACAATGAGTTGATCTGAGAAAAACCTCCCAACCACAAATCCAGGACTGCCCGTGTCAAGACAGAGCTATATGGTTACTAAGAAAACTTGCTTTAAACCCATCTAAACTCTGTAGACATTCCATCAAACAGATGTGTGTGTGCGCAGTGGAAAATGCAGCACAGATGTTAAAAGGTAAATATTTTTCTAAGCTCTAGCCGATGGGTGGATTAGACACCTACATCTATCAGGGTGCGTATTTTTCTTGGGTATAATCATAAACCAGCACTGTTTCAGCCCTAAATGGGCAGTGTTCAAATAGCCTCGGTGATGCAGTGCAAATAAAAGAAACCCATCTACACTAATGCTTCTCTCCAGCGCACGGGCCCCAGAGAGCAGCCCTCTCCTCTGGCCTCTGAGCCAGAGGTTAAGATAGATTTCTGTAAGGCTCGATGGCCCTGTAGCAGCCTGTCCGAGCCAGGCTGAGAAGAAAGGATGCCAGCTGCAGCTCTGCCATGGGAAAAATCCAACTGTGTGGATGTGACTGTGCCCTCCCTCCCATCCTCCCCCTCCCCCCACCTCCAGCAAAGCCACAAGCCCGCCTCAAGGACCACAATTGTATCACACCTGAGGAGTTTCAAGTCAAGAGAGAGCCTGGGGTCTCACTGGGGATGCTCCGGGGTCCTCAGCTGGCATCCAGGAGTCGAGGTAGCTGAGAATGCTCACCTCCCACACATGCCATCATGCCCTGCCCTGGGACCAGGGCTGGCAGTCCTAGGAGTTGACCAGGCAACAGGAAGGAAGCTGGGGGAAAGCCAGTCCTGGCAGACGCCATTTGGAAAACAGAATGAGCAGGGCCAGGGTGGAAAGAGGCAGCCAACTACGGCTGACCTGTGTCGTGCTCTCAGCTGTTCCAACCTGAGCAGGCTGGCAGGACACGGAGGTCTCGCTCCCTTAGTCTCAAGGTTCTTGCCGCCCACAGGCTTAGCTGAGAGCCTTGCTGGAATCTCAGCAGACACCTTCCAAGGTCACAGAGCTGGGAGGCACTAGAGCTGCAAAGGTCTTGTGATGCAAGTTTCTCGCTCGAAGTCGCAAGCAGTTGCAAGCAAGTCCAACACAGGCTTCCTCAAAATGTACTTATCTCATTGCATTTGTGGAGCTATTTACTGCACACCTAATGTGTGTTCAGCTCAGTACAGGCATGGGGTTGGGTGCAGGGTCCTGCCCTGGAGATGCAAGCAACCCCATGTGAAGTAACAGCCACCTTAAAAGATGGAACGAAATGCTAAATGTGTGCCACAAAGACTGTGAACGCAATAGAAGTTCAGAAGCCAGCGGACTGAGAAAATAATGCAACTTTGTAATTACAATTTTTTCTGTTGGTGGTTCTAATACTCTCCCTTTTGCTGTTGAGTCCCTTAAACTTCAGCAAAGAGTGACGTATTGGTTGTCACTCATCACATTAAAGAGCTTTCAAAGATGGGGTGCACCAGGGATACACTCTGTCAAGGCTAAAGCAACATGTAAACGCTCCCACGGTGACAGTTAGTGGTAGTAAGAAAGACCGTGCAAATGGCCGATAAGGGGAGGCAGGGGAAGTGGTCAGAGAGCTCAAACCACTTAAGTGGGGTACGGGACTCCTGAGGGAAAAAGGGGGCCCGACACGAGGAGGCTAGGCCAAGGGATGCAAAATGCAAAGCAGAGCCGTGGCAGGCAAGCTGCACCAAGGCTCGGTCCCCGCCCCGCCCCGCACCCCCCCCCCCCCGCCCCCAGGCTCCGATAACTTCCTGCTGCGAGAAAAACGGGCGCACAGTAGGCCCTGGGTTGTGCGGAAGTGTACAATGGAGCAGAAGCTTCCGTTTAAATCTGTATGACGCTTCCTCTGCTTTATTGTTGGGAAACCAACCAACCAACACCACCAACAGGGACAAAGTGAAAAGGGAAAGCCCGCCTGGCTGTCCCACCTCCTCCAGCTCCCTGTGACCCACTGGGCCTGAATGTTGCTGAACACTTTCTATGCATGGATGTACATAATTACATATCTTGTCCAGGTACTGTTTTTACAGAAATGAGATTCTATCGTGCATTCTCTGCTGCAGCTGGTTCTTGTTATTTACCGATCTGGCTTAACAAACGGGCTCAGCCTCTTGAACGGCAGGGGCACAGTGTGCTGCCTGCTGCGCTAGCCTCCGAACCAGCGCCCCACTGAGCGACAGACGGGGCTTCCAGGTTCTTGCCATCTCAGACAACCCCACAACGGAAGTCCTCACTCCCATCGAGCTATTTAAAAGCTGCACGTGCACATCGTCTTTTGTGCCCCAAGAAGGCTCTCTTATGTGACTCTAAGGCCACAATGTACATTTTTCTTTGTTCCTTTAGAGGCGGAAAGATTTCCTCCAAATGGTCCTGAATGCCTCACATTCTGCCACCTCTGTGGGCGTGGAGGACTTTGACATCGTCAGGAAAGCCTTCTCCTCCACCAGATGCACCACAAGTCCTTCCCAGCCACACCAGCCCAGAACCCTGTCCAAGCCTCTGACTGTGGATGAGGTCGTGGGCCAGGCCTTCATCTTCCTCATCGCCGGCTACGAGATCATCACCAACACTCTCTCTTTTGCCACCTACCTCCTGGCCACCCACCCCGACTGCCAAGAGAAGCTTCTGAGAGAGGTGGACGGTTTCAACACGAAACACGTGAGTACAGTTGTCCGGGTGATTTTGTGCTCATAGAAGTAAAATTTATTTTTGATAACCACTTAGCTAATATCACATTCTAAGCTCCGCCTGGGTACTGTGGTCCACCTTTTCCATCTCTCTGGGTTAGCAAGTAAAGTAGAATACTCAGAAAAAAAAAAAGATAAAAAAAAAAACTGTCACACGCCTTCACTATCTGGGGCGGTCCATGAAACCAGGCTTGGCTCGGAGAAGCCGGGGTCTTCATGGATGGGGAAGGAGGCGTGGTTCCCAGTGCTCTGACTGTGGAGTCTCCAAGCCCAGGGAAGTGAGTGTGAGCCAGAAAATGGAGCCAAAGTGGAAGGCAGAGGCAGGCAGAAGGATGGGCCCCGGCAAAGCAGGAATGAATACTGGTCGAGCACGGAGGATGAGGTCTGTAAATGGAGCAACGTGAGAGGGGGCCAGTCAACTCCAGGTCCAAATTCTGGATATTCCTTCTTGGTGGGACCCCTCTTGGCTGGACTGGAAACAAACTTTCAAGGGTGCTGAACTTGGCTACTTTTTCACATCATTTTTTCTGGACGCTGATGTGTGTACTGCTTTGACTTATGAGTTGTTAAAAATCTGTACTTTAAAAGGAAGACCACCATCATGGATTCCTTTCTATTACATTCTGATGTAATTCACGATTTGGGGAAGAGGTCTGTTCTGTTATTGGAACCATTAGAAATTTCTTTCATATACTGAGCTGAAAACTGCTTCCCAGAAAATTTCACTTCTTTATCCCCCTGGGGAAAGTAGATGCAGGGTTAGCCATTCTTTTAGGAACTGCATTAACCGTGTTACTAATTGTCTTAACTTTTGGCTCATCACAAGCTTTATGATCAACTTAAAGTTCTGTGACGTTCTGGCATCTGCCAAGCCGAGTCTCCCCAGTCCGCTGTTTGTACCATTGATTTTTTTGAGCCTAGATGCAAGAGTTTATATTTATCCTTATTATTGCTCCAGTCAGTCAAAATAATTTTGAATCTTGATTCTGCCATCTGTCATATTAGCAATTCCTCCAGCTTTGTGTCATCTGAAGCTTGCTAAGCATGTCTTCTATTTCATCCAAGTCATCGATTAAAATGTTGAACAGGACAGGGCTTCCCTCCAGGTTGACATTGATCCATTAATCAATATTCTTTGGGCATGGAGTCTCAACAAGCTGTGAATCCAAATAACCCTACTACCCACTCCCACCACCCATCTCCTCCTGTTTCATACATACCCGTGGATTATTTTTTAGTTGAGGAGGGGAAGGAGGGGGAACCAAAGACGATTGGGGTACATTACTATAAGGGGAGCTGAAGGGTATATCTATTAGGGTGCAGTTAGGGGCAGGTAACAAAACCCCAGCCCAAATTGATTTAAGCATCCCCGCAAAAATGGAGAGAGGTACTTATTAATACAGATTATTGAGCATCTTAGGAATAGATGTGGCTTCAAGCAAATCTTTATGTAGGCTCAGAGATGTGCTCAGGTCCTCGTTTCTCCCCACTTCTTGGCTGTGCTTTCTTCCTACTGGTCCCACTCTTGGCTGTGCCCTCCTTTCAAGCCCCAAGCAGCCTGCCCAGAGCATCTGGGACTATAGGCTTTCTTGCTCATAACCAATGGAGGAAAGAGTCAGTGACCCCAGATTCTCAGCAAGAGTCATCAGGTTCACTCTGGTCGAATGCTTAGGTCACTGCCCATTCTTGAACTGGCAGTTGTAGCTGGGGGCATGGGGGCATGGGTGGGCTTAAGTCAGTCAGTCCTGCTCCTGGAGTCAGCCATACCCACATCACAAGACTGACCACTCGGGAGAGTGAGCTCCCACGGAAGCCCGGCAGCTACCCCAGGAAGGCTGGCAAGGCGGGAGAGGGGGTCCAGCCCCCTGCTCTCAAATAAACCAGGAGGTATGTCAACCTAAGACTTTTAAGCACTTAGAGAGTGGTCAGCAGTGTGGTGGACATGGCAGTGGGTTGGAGATGGGGAAGCAGCTCTGAGAGATAGAAGTCATGGTCCTTATCTTCAGGGAATATAATTGCCAATTGAAAACAGTAAGTTATGTCTATTAAAACAATACTTCCCTTCCAAATGAAATTCTCCAGGGCAAGAGACAGCAGTAAGTAATCAAGTCTAGAACGAGTGGTATCATTCAGAGAGCTGCGGGGCCCTGGGAGTCTGTCCCACCAGCTACACTGCAGTGATATGTGGTCGTGTCCATCTACCAGGACACAGGGAGGGCTCCCATAGACCTCCATCCGGAGGCCCTCGCTCACACAGCCCCTTACCTCTGACGTGGCCTAAACAGACACGGCCTCGAGGAGGGCGGCACTGTCTCACCAAACCCTGGCCTCCTTCAAATCCCCCTAGCCTAGGATGGGGGCTTCTTTCCCCAGAGAACCGCCTTCCATGGGGCTGTGCAGAATGTTGTCAGGCACTGAGACCTCCTGAGCAAATAAACAGATTTTAGGAAGTAAAGTTTTCCAAACTTTAGTGTGCATAAAATCACCTAGGAAGATTTTAAAGACGCAGATTCCAGGGCCCTCCCCACAGAGGTTCTCATTCTATAAGTCTGGGCCAGGGTCTGCATTTTAAAAACATATTGCAGGTGGTCCCCGGTTCCACTTTGAGAATATAGCCTTGGACTCTCAGAGTCCGCCCTGCCAGCCCCTCAGTCGCTTCCTTTCTCAAAGTAACAGTTGGGACTGTCTCTGAGAAATGGAGATTCATAGAACTTGTCTTTTTAAAAAATAAGTCTGGTAGTTACAATAGTGTTAACATTTGTATAGCCTTGCACATGGTACACGCTCAGTAAATACTTACAGGTTCTCTTTTTTTCTTCTATTTCCTTTTCCCCCCCTTTTTTCTTTTACTACAATCAGAGTTCTGTTAATACGGGCCATCTGTCAGAACATGGAAATGCAGATGAGACGTTCACACATTAGATATTTTCCTGAAAATATTCCTAAAAATTTGCATGTAAAGTATGACTTGTGATAATTTTCCTGCTGGTTTCCATTCAACAGATATGTTTTGAGTGCCAGTTACTGCCAGAGTTGGGCTCCAGACCCTACACCCAAGGATGTTCTGACCTAGTCCTGCCATGATATCCCTATAGAGCCCCACGCATCTCATTAGATGGCCTTCCCTTGCATTTGTCAGTGAGGTCACTGGATCTGAGCTCTGGAGTTTCCTTTCCCTGAGCTGTATCCTTTTTCAGTGATGCCCTCTGAGAATCTGGTGAAAGCTACGTCTTCTCCCCAAGAGAAAGAGCATATGTGTTTGCTGTATCAGGAGTCCTTCTCCTGACAGTGATAGAAAAGTCAGTCCAGGTTGGCTTAGGGAGTTTACTGACCCACATAACTGAAAACTCTAGAGAGTAGGGCTGCCTTCAGGTATGGCTTGATGCAGGGGCTCAAACTCTGTCACTAAGACCCAGGTTGTCATCTCTCCCCTCTCTCAGCAACAGTCACACTGGGCACACTCTGTTCTTGGACAGGATCTCCCCTAGTGGTCTCAAGACAGCTGTGTAACCAGCATGTTGAACAGTCTGAACTAAGTGAAGTATGAGCATGGACTCCTTTTCCATTTTTTCCATTTATTTCTTTTAAATATGCTCTGACAAATCTCTTCTCCCTTTCCTTGATGATACCTCAGACAGATCTCAAAGGTTTCTGGTCCTCTTTAGGCATTAAAAAGTTCAGAACAGTCTGGTTCAATTAAAAGTCTGTCTCCAGTCCAATTTCATGCCCTTCCATCCCCTTAGTTCAGGCTGACCTGTGACCTGAGGAAACTGTCAGGGGTGAGGGGATCTGTTCTTTCACTCTCCTTCCTCTCCTCCTCCTGTGACTCCTGCACCCCTTCTCCTCCCAGGGGCGGGGCTACTAACAGATCCCCAGATCCTGCCTAACGGGGCGTCTCTCAGCCCCTCCCCTGCGGTGGCCTCTGGCATGGAGTAGGAGTAGGAATTATTCAGAGGACTGGCTCTTGGGACCCTCCACCTGTCACAGATAGTTCCCTGGCAGGGAAGGGACTCCTGCCTCACAGCTTCTGGGTGCCGGGGTCTCCTGCTGCCAGTCAGCCCTCGTGAGCAGGGCACTGGCAAGAAGGCTCATGCTGACCAGCAACGCTTTGTGCAGTATCTGAGCGGCCCACAGGAATCACACATCTCACACACCAACAGTGATTGCTCCCTCTCCTGTCCCTTCTCTGTTCTGCCCTGGTATCTGTCTCCAGCTACTGTTCTTCTGCTCAAATAGGCAGAGAGGGCAAGGGGACAGTTGTGCTGCATCAGCAGGTGGCCACGTGGAGAATGAAATGCCAGCTCAGGCAGCTGCCCCCACTTTCCAGGAAGGGCTCTATGGGCACCCTCCTTCCTTGGCTCTGGACAGGAGAACGCTTCTCTAGGCTGATGACTCCCTGCTCTGACACGTTTTCCTTAAACCCCTCTAATCTTTTCCTAGGCTGGGGATAGGGGGAGTGGAGAAGAGAGCTGGTTCAGGTCCAGCTTGAAGAAGCAAGAGTCTCTTTCCAGGGAGTCTCAGTGACAGTCAAACGGCATCTCACTGATAGAGACTGGGTCCTACGCGCGCCTCCCAGCCAATCACCGGGGCTGAGGGGAATATGACGTTCTGATTGGCTTAGACCTGGGTCACTCACACAATCCCTGGAGCTGGTATCTAGATGGGGCCTCACCTGAGCCAGTCAGAACTCAAATGGAGAAGTGGATCCCCAAGCCCTTGTTACTAGAAGTTGGGTGAATGGCTGCTGGTGGCCAGAAAATAGTGTATCCACCATGTGCATAGAATCCATGGTCTCCAGATTAGAAGCTCCTACTTTGAAATTCTGTATTCTGCAGTCACACTCACCTTTCCTCTGAAATTTTAAAAACCAGCTTTCCAAAGTCAAAGGTATGAGTCCAAAAGTGCTTAGTGCCGCCTGCTCTTTTGTACTTCCAAATGATGCGTACTCCTCGTAAATGACGCGGCCACTTC